TTTTTTGGGGTTTTTTTGGGGTTTTGGGAGAATTTTTTTGGGATTTATTTTTTGGGATTTCTTTGGATTTTGGGGGATTTTTTTGGGATTTTTTGAGATTTTTTTTTAATTTTGGGGGAATTTTTGGACTTTTTTGGGGGGAATTTTTGGACTTTTTTTGGGATTTTTTTTTGGGTTTTTTGAGATTTTTTTGGGATTTTTTTTTTGGGATTTCTTTGGATTTTGGGGGATTTTTTTGGGATTTTTTTGAGATTTTTTTTTAATTTTGGGGGAAGTTTTTGACTTTTTTGGGGGAATTTTTTTGGGTTTTTTGAGATTTTTTTTGGGATTTTTTTTTGGGATTTCTTTGGATTTTGGGGGGATTTTTTTGGGATTTTTTGGAGATTTTTTTTTTAATTTTGGGGGAATTTTTTTTACTTTTTTGGGGTTTTTTTGGGGTTTTGGGAGAATTTTTTTGGGATTTATTTTTTGGGATTTCTTTGGATTTTGGGGGATTTTTTTGGGATTTTTTTGGGATTTTTTGGGGATTTTTTTTGAGGATTTCTTTGGATTTTGGGGGAATTTTTTGGGGATTTTTTATTTAATTTTGGGGGAATTTTTGGGGGATTTTTTGGGATTTCTTCGGATTTTGGGGGAAATTTTCAGGAATTTTTTGGGGGAATTTTTTTGGATTTTGGGGGATTTTTTTGGGATTTTTTTGAGATTTTTTGGGGATTTTTTTTGAGGATTTCTTTGGATTTTGGGGCAATTTTTTGGGAATTTTTTGGGGGGATTTCTTTGGATTTTGGAGGAAATTTTTGGGAATTTTTTGGGGGGATTTCTTTGGATTTTGGGAGAATTTTTTTGGATTTTGGGGGAATTTTTTGGGGATTTTTTTGGGATTTTTTTGGGGGATTTCTTTGGATTTTGGAGGAAATTTTTGGGGAATTTTTTGGGGGGATTTCTTTGGATTTTGGAGGAAATTTTTGGGAATTTTTTGGGGGGATTTCTTTGGATTTTGGAGGAAATTTTCGGGAATTTTTTGGGGGGATTTCTTTGGATTTCGGAGGAAATTTTCGGGAATTTTTTGGGGGATTTCTTTGTATTTCAGAGGAAATTTTTGGGATTTTTTGGGGGGATTTCTTTGGATTTTGGAGGAAATTTTTGGGAATTTTTTTGGGGGATTTTTTTGGATTTTGGAGGAAATTTTTGGGAATTTTTTGGGGGGATTTCTTTGGATTTCGGAGGAAATTTTTGGGAATTTTCTGGGGGGATTTCTTTGGATTTTGGGAGAATTTTTTTGGATTTTGGGGCAATTTTTTGGGGTTTTTTTTGGGAATTTTGGGATTTTTTCCCGCTCAGGTTTCACGGTTGAAGGAGACGATCCAGGAAAATCGGGAAGAGCGGGATCGGATCCTGCTGGATAAGGAATTGCTGCTCCAAAGGTTCCAGGAGCTGCAGGAGGAGCTGGAAAATCGGAAGAGATCCCAGGAGGAGCGAGCTCGGAATTCCAAAGCGTTGGAGGTGGGAATTCCCCCGGGAAAAAACAAAAAATTCCCGGGAAAAAAATTCCTTGGGAGATTTTTTTTTAAGGGTTTTCCTAAAAAAATTTAAAGAAAAAAAAAAATAAATGGGGAAAATTTTGTTAAAAAGTTTTTCATAATTATTGGGGGGGGTTGGAAGAATTCCTGGTTGGAATTCCTGGAAAATTCACCCCAAAAAAAAAATTCAGAAAAATGTTACAGGGGAATTCGCAAAGAATTCCTGAAAAATTCCCAAAAAAAATCACAAAAAAATTCCTGAAGTATTCCCAAAAAATTCCCCCCAAAATTCCTGAAATATTCCCAAAAAATTCCCAAAAAATTCCAAAAAATTCCCCAAAAATTCCCCAAAAATTCCCAAAATATTACCCCAAAATTCCTGGAATATTCCCCAAAAATTCCTGAAATATTCCCAAAAAATTCCCTAAAAATTCCCCCAAAAACTCCTGAAATATTCCTCAAAAAATCCCAAAAAATTCCCAAAAAATTGCCATAAATTCCAAAAAAATTCCCCCCAAAATTCCCAAAATATTCCCCCAAAATTCCTGAAATATTCCCAAAATATTCCCCCAAAATTCCTGAAATATTCCCAAAAAATTCCCCAAAAAATTCCTGAAATATTCCCAAAAAATTTCTGAAATATTAAAAAAAAATTCCCCCCAAAATTCCCAAAAATTCCCGAAATATTCCCCAAAAAATCCCAAAAAATTTCTGAAATATTCCCAAAAAATTCCCCAAAAATTCCCCCAAAAATTCCAGAAATATTCCCCAAAAAATCCCCAAAAATTTAAAAAAAATTCCAAAAAAATTCCCCAAAAATTTCCCCCAAATTTCCCATAATATTCCCCAAAAATTCCAGAAATATTCCCAAAAAATTCCCAAAAATTCCTGAAATATTCCCCAAAAATTCCCAAAAAATTCCTGAAATATTCCCAAAAAATTCCCCCCAAAATTTCTGAAATATTCCAAAAAAATTCCCAAAAAATTCCCCCAAAATCCCAAAATATTCCTGAAAAATTCCAAAAAAATTCCCAAAAAATTCCCCCCAAACCTCCCAAAAAAATCCCAAAAAATCCCAAAAAATTCCTGAAATATTAAAAAAAAACCTCAAAAAAATTCCCCCAAAAAATCCCAAAAATTCCCCAAAAAAATTCCTAAAAAAATTCCCCATTCCCAAGGATTTTTTTCCCCATTCCCAAGGATTTTTTCCCCATTCCCAAGGATTTTTCCCACTTTTTCCCCCCAATTCCAAGGAATTTTTCCACCTTTTCCCCCCCAAAATTCCCACAAATCCATCCCAAATTTTTCCCCATTTTCCCTTTTCCCTCCGGAATTCCGGGAATTTTTTCCCCCTTTATTCCCCTGGGAATTCCCTGTCCGGGAATGGATTTTTTTTCCCAAAAAATTCCCAAATTCCCTCCAGGAAAAATCCAAACGTTTGGAATTGGAGCTGGACGAGGAGCGGAGCTCGGTGGAGCTGCTGAGCGAGAGGGTGACCAGGAGCCGGGATCAGGTAAAAAAAAACCCGGAATTCCCGGATTTTTTCCATGAATTTTCCCAAAAATTCCATGAATTTTCATCCCATCCTTTCAGAATTCCAATCCTTTTAAGGATCCAGCCCAAAATTCCAGCTGGGAATGAGGATTGGAAGAAATTTAAGGGGAAAAAAAGAGGAAATTCCCGAAGAAATTCCGGAATTTTTTGGGGTTTGGGGCGGGAATTTGGGGAGAGAATTCCGAGGGATTTTTGGGTTTTTATGGAATGTTGTTCCCGCTTTTTTTTTTATTTAAATCCGTAAAATTTCGAGGTGGGAAATGGGAATTTTTTTTTTTTTTTCTGATTTTTTTTTCGTGTTTTTTCCGGGCGGGAAAAATTCCTGGGATGGATTTCCCAGAATTCCCGGAGAATTCCTGAACAATCCTGGTCCTGAAATCCATGGAAATCCATGGAAAATTCATGGAAAATCCGTGGAAACTCATGGAAATCCGTGTAAATCCGTGTAAAATTCCAGAAAATCCATGAAAATCCATGAAAATCCATGAAAAACCAATGGAAAATCATGGAAAAGCTATGGAAAACCCATGGAAAATCCATGGAAAATCAATGGAAAATCATGGAAAAGCCATGGAAATCTGTGGAAACCCATGGAAAATTCCAGAAAATTCATGAAAACCCATGGAAATTTGATGAAAATCCATGGAAAATCATGGAAAAATTCATGGAAATCCATGGAAAATTCCAGAAAATCCATGAAAATCCATGGAAAATCCCAGGAAATCCATGGAAAAACCATGGAAAATCCATGGAAATCAGCAGAAAATCCATGAAAAGTCCATGGAAAATTCCAGAAAATCCATGGAAAATTCCAGAAAATCCATGGAAACCCATGGAAAATCCATGGAAAACCCATGGAAATCCATGGAAAATTCCAGAAAATCCATGGAAATCCATGGAAATCAATGGAAAATTCCAGAAAATCCATGGAAAACCCATGGAAATCCATGGAAAATTCCAGAAAATCCATGGAAAACCCATGGAAACCCATGGAAAATCCATGGAAAATCCCAGAAAATCCATGGAAAATTCCAGAAAATCCATGGAAATCCATGGAAGTCAGCAGAAAACCCATGGAAAATTCCAGAAAATTCCAGGAAATCCATGGAAGTCAGCAGAAAACCCATGGAAAATTCATGGAAAATCATGGAAAAATTCATGGAAAATTCCAGAAAATCCATGGAAAATCCATGGAAAATCCATGGAAATCAATGGAAAATTCCAGAAAATCCATGGAAATTCATGGAAAATCCCAGAAAACCCATGGAAAATTCCAGAAAATCCATGGAAAATTCCAGAAAATCCATGGAAAATTAAAAAAATCCATGGAAAACCCATGGAAACCCATGGAAATCAATGGAAAATTCCAGAAAATCCATGGAAAATTCCAGAAAATCCATGGAAAATCCATGGAAATCCATGGAAATCAATGGAAAATTCCAGAAAATCCATGGAAAAACTATGGAAAATCCATGGAAAATCCATGGAAACCCATGGAAAATCCCAGAAAATCCATGGAAAATTCCATGAAAACCCAATAGAAAATCATGAAAAACCCATGGAAAACCCATGGAAAATCCATGGAAAATTCCAGAAAATCCTTGGAAACCCATGGAAAACCCATGGAAAATCCCAGAAAATTCATGGAAAATCCATGGAAATTGCCAGAAAATCCATGGAAATCCATGGAAACCCATGGAAAATCCCAGAAAATCCTTGGAAACCCATGGAAAATTCCAGAAAATCCTTGGAAACCCATGGAAATTCATGGAAAATCCCAGAAAATCCATGGAAAACCCATGGAAACCCATGGAAATCAATGGAAAATCCCAGAAAATCCATGGAAAATTCCAGAAAATCCATGGAAAATCCCAGAAAATCCATGGAAAATCCCAGAAAACCCATGGAAATCCATAGAAATCCATGGAAACCCATGGAAAATCCCAGAAAATCCATGGAAAATTCCATGAAAACCCAATAGAAAATCATGAAAAACCCATGGAAAACCCATGGAAAATCCATGGAAAATTCCAGAAAATCCTTGGAAACCCATGGAAAACCCATGGAAAATCCCAGAAAATTCATGGAAAATCCATGGAAATCGCCAGAAAATCCATGGAAATCCATGGAAACCCATGGAAAATTCCAGAAAATCCTTGGAAACCCGTGGAAAATTCCAGAAAATCCTTGGAAACCCGTGGAAAATTCCAGAAAATCCTTGGAAACCCATGGAAAATCCCAGAAAATCCATGGAAAACCCATGGAAACCCATGGAAATCAATGGATAATCCCAGAAAATCCATGGAAAATTCCAGAAAATCCATGGAAAATCCCAGAAAATCCATAGAAATCCATGGAAATCAATGGAAAATCCCAGAAACCCCATGGAAAATCATGGAAAAATCCATGGAAAATCCCAGAAAATCCATGGAAAATCCCAGAAAATCCATGGAAAATCCATGAAAACCCAATAGAAAATCATGAAAAACCCATGGAAAACCCATGGAAAATCCATGGAAAATTCCAGAAAATCCTTGGAAACCCATGGAAAACCCATGGAAAATCCCAGAAAATTCATGGAAAATCCATGGAAATTGCCAGAAAATCCATGGAAATCCATGGAAACCCATGGAAAATCCCAGAAAATCCTTGGAAACCCATGGAAAATTCCAGAAAATCCTTGGAAACCCATGGAAATTCATGGAAAATCCCAGAAAATCCATGGAAAACCCATGGAAACCCATGGAAATCAATGGAAAATCCCAGAAAATCCATGGAAAATTCCAGAAAATCCATGGAAAATCCCAGAAAATCCATGGAAAATCCCAGAAAACCCATGGAAATCCATAGAAATCCATGGAAACCCATGGAAAATCCCAGAAAATCCATGGAAAATCCCAGAAAATCCATGGAAAACCCCAGAAATGCCTGGAAAACCCTGGGAATTCCCAAATTTTCCATGTTTTTATTCCCAGATCGAGCAGCTCCGGGCTGAGCTGCTCCAGGAGCGTTCGAGCCGCCAGGACCTGGAATGTGACAAATCCTCCCTGGAGCGCCAGGTGCGGAAAATCCCGGGAAAAAAAATCCCCAAATGGATCCCAAATTTCCGAGGAATTCCGGGAAAAGAATCCTCGGGAATGGGCTCAGCATTCCCAGGGCTTTTCCCGCTTTTTTCCCGCTTTTTTCCCGCTTTTTTCCCGCTTTTTTCCCGCTTTTTTCCCGCTTTTTCCCCGCCTTTTTCCCGCTTTTTTCCCGCTTTTTTCCCGCCTTTTTCCCGCCTTTTTCCCGCCTTTTTCCCGCCTTTTTCCCGCTTTTTTCCCGTTTTTTTCCCGTTTTTTTCCCGCTTTTTTCCCATTTTTGGGGGTTTTTTTCCCACTTTTTCCTGCTTTTCTTTGATTCCCAATCCAAATTTTTGGGGTTCTCTGCGCTCTCCCAGGGTTTTCCATGCAGAATTCCCATTTTTCCATGCAGAATTCCCACTTTTCCCTCCAGAATTCCCATTTTCCCTTCGCAATTCCCATTTTCCCTGAACAATTCCCATTTTCCCTGAACAATTCCCACTTTTCCTGCACAATTCCCACTTTTCCCTCCACAATTCCCATTTTTCCCTCCACAATTCCCATTTTCCCTCCACAATTCCCATTTTCCCTTCAATAAACCCCACAATTCCCACTTTTCCATGACCAATTCCCATTTTCCCTCCACAATTCCCATTTTTTCTGCACAATTCCCACTTTTCCCTTCAATAAACCCCAGAATTCCCAGTTTTCCCTGAACAATTCCCATTTTCCCTCCACAATTCCCATTTTTCCCCACAATAAATCCCAAAATTCCCACTCTTCCATGCCCAATTCCCATTTTTCCCTCCACAATTCCCATTTTCCCTCCACAATTCCCATTTTTCCCGCCACAATTCCCACTTTTCCATGCCCAATTCCCATTTTTCCCTCCACAATTCCCATTTTCCCTCCACAATTCCCAATTTTCCCTCCACAATTCCCATTTTTCCCTACAATAAACCCCAGAATTCCCATTTTTCCCTGAACAATTCCCATTTTCCCTCCACAATTCCCATTTTTCCCTCCACCATTCCCATTTTTATTGCACAATTCCCATTTTTTGTTGCACAATTCCCATTTTTCCCTCCACAATTCCCATTTTCCCTGCACAATTCCCATTTTCCCTGCAAAATTCCCAATTTTCCCTCCACAATTCCCACTTTCCCTCCACAATTCCCATTTTCCCTCCACAATTCCCTTTTTTTATTGCACAATTCTCAGTTTTTATTGCACAATTCCCATTTTTCCCTCCACAATTCCCAATTTTCCCTCCACAATTCCCATTTTTCCCTCCACAATTCCCATTTTCCCTTCAATAAACCCCACAATTCCCATTTTTCTTGAACAATTCCCACTTTTCCCTCCACAATTCCCATTTTCCCTCCACAATTCCCATTTTTCCCTCCACAATTCCCATTTTCCCTTCACAATTCCCAATTTTCCCTCCACAATTCCCATTTTTCCTCCACAATTCCCATTTCCCCCCCCCCAGAATCCCCCCAAAGAATTCCCAGAATTCCTCCCCGTTATTAAAACCGGGATAAAACCCGGGAAATTTCCGGGAATTCCGAGGAATTTTTGGGAATTCTTGCCCAGAATAAGGAGCTGAAGAACCGGCTGGCGGCTTCCGAGGGGCAGCAGAAACCCGGGAATGCTCGGAATTCGCAGCTGGAATCGCAGCTGGAAGAGCTCCGGGATCGGCTCCAGGCTG